TTTTTGTAAATTTATACGAAACTATGTCATAGGCTGATTATAGTATTTGTTAATAACTGAACTAATTTACTGTATTCCTCAATTTAAAAAAATAAATAAATAGTATAATGTAGAAGTATTTCGTCTTTTGGACGTTAACATTAAATGGTATGAGATATTAAGAAAGAATTACTTAGAAATGGATTTCGAATAATTTGGCATCATAGATGTTTATATAAGTGCTAAATTATGAGAAGTAAAATCAATTAAAGTAAGTTTTAAAAAAAATATTAATCAATCAACCTATGGGGAAGCCCGGAGTAAGTTGCAAGATTAAATTAATTGGCATCTTTCGTTTGCATTGTGCAAACGAAAGATGCCAATGCATGTCTTAGCACTGATTACAGAAGCTGTTCTGTGGAAGTTATTTTATTCGGTTTTTAATCTTTACTAAACGTTAATGTTTTGCTCTTTTAAATGTTTTAAGTAAAAGTTACAGCCTATATACGCATACGTCCCACTGCTGGGCACAGGCCTCCTCTTATTTCTGAGAGGATTTTAGGGCTAGGAAATGTCCGCCGCGCTGCCCCAATACGTGTTCGAAATATTTTTTCTTATTTCTCAGACATGCAGGTTTCCTGAACATGTTTTACTTCACCGCCGAGCACGTGGTAAATCAGCACTCACAATTGCAATTAAAATTTTAATTGGCGCCGGCGGAGAACGAACCCGGGTTGCTCGCGTACTGTGAAATTTACAACGAGCGCTTAGCCCCTGAGCTACAACGGCTTTGTGGTTTAAATAATACCTTAAATCTTTAAATTAAAGAAAAACCCTTGAGATATATTCCATTTAAAATAAAAAGATCATTTTAATGGGTTCAGGAGTTTCCAAGAAATCAGTGGATATACATAAAAAAACATGCGCGTCGATTGTCGTGTTTGAAACTCTGCTAAAAAGAATGAAATCAATTTTATTATATAAAATATGCGATATTAAACATTTTGTTGTAATCCTTGTAAAATTATGCTTTTTTTTTAAGATAAGGGTGACAAAAATGCAGATGCGTTGTCACTCGCGAGGATAAAGATGGAATACCTCGTTTCCAGTAAAAAGGGTCGTTACAAGCAAAAACCATAACTTAGTAATACTAATTATAACTTGAAAATAGATGAAAAACTCATGACAAGGAATGTGGTTTAGGACCAGGCTTTGCGGCAGTCTATCTAGGAGGATGTTCAGTAGTGGACTTGTGTAAGGTTGTAATGACGATGATGATTAGAAAACTTGGATGATTAAACTATTAGAAATCGATGTACTACATAATATTTTATCATAATTTTTAACTAAGTAGAATACGATGATTTTTTAATAAGTAGAATACGATTACATTGCTGTGTTCCGCGCCCGCTCAGCAGTGAGCTCCGCCTGTACATAAATGAGCCCTAAGGTATGATCTAGACCGGGCGCGCCGCATGGAATCGCACAGAACAATTACAAAAGGAGATTCAAACATGTCAATACGAATTAACCCTACCCGGTTACCATAATACTTTATAGTTCATAAATAAAATGCTGAAATGAAACTTATTAAGTAGTGAGTTGTAACATAAAAGTACCTATAAGTCAAGTTGCAACAAGGTTGCAATGTTATTATGTTTTTATAATTAATATTTTTTTTAATTTTATTTGTGGTTATTGTTTTGATTATTTAATTGTTAGGACTAAGTAAGTCAGGTTGAAATGTTATTGATTATGTTTCTTTAAAGTATATTTTTGAATCTTGTTTGAGATTATTGTTTTTTTTATAAGATAAGGGTGACAAACGAGCACACAGTCCACCTGATGGTAAACGGTTGCTGTGGCCCATAGACATCTACATCTAAATAAAAATGCAGATGCGTTGTCACCCGTGAGGACTAAGATGGAATGCCTCGTTTACAGCGTTAAGGTGCTATTTTAAACTGGTATTTTGTGAGTGTGTGGTCCTTCCCCGGTCGAGCCGACCCATTTGTGCTACAACTATACCAGTAATACAGCTGCAGCATGGTTCTACAATGTAAAAATTTGGTTTATTCTGTTTTTATTCTGTTTTTAAATGTGTGTTTTGTTTTTGTATTTAATTGTTTAATTCTAGTGACTAGCGACTTAATAAGTAGTTCAGGTTGCAATGTTATCAATTATTATGTTTTTTATATATATTTTTGGTTTTGTTTGTGATTATTATTTTGATATAGTGAAACAGTGTTTTTGTTTTTAAAGTGCTTTAAATTAAAAAAAATTAAAACACTTCGAAATAATTTACACAGATTTTTATTATTTAAAGTTAATAATCTAAATGCCGATTTTCATATGTCTAACTTCAAAAATATAGGACTCATATAACCTTTCAAACCGCATTTCACCCCCTTATATTTATATACACTACATCTAACGTAAATAACGCACATCCTCAGACACCCCAATAGTATATTATGTTATAATCATAATACATACACTGAATTCTTAGTTAAACATGTTTATGCATTGATTATTTATTATTATTAACAATTTCATTGGTGCCGGCGGGGATCTAACCCGGGTGTGCATGTCTGAGAAATTAAAAAAAATATATATTTAGTAATGCCGGGTTTCCATGCTTGCCAAGCCTCGGCAAACGTCTTCAAGCCCCAAGCGTCCACAAATCTCGTTTGGCGTTTGGAAGTCGTTTCCATGCTTGTGAATGCGTCAGTGTGCTACTTAAACCCAAGCATGGCGGAAACCGAACTTGTGTCGGCTATTGCGTTTAGTTTAACATACTTTTATTTGAAATACAAGCAAAGTAATACAAAAACAAGGAATTTTTGGCTTTTAATTCTTTTACTGGCTTTCCCGTTAACTCGGCAAGACGACTCCAAGCATTTGCAACTTTCTTTTTATTTTTATGATTAACGTCTTTGGGGTTCCAGATAGACGATTCGGTCTGGTAATATTCCAGAAATGATAAACTCTCTTCGTTCGACCAGTCACTCATTTTAAACAAAGAACTAAACATGCGCTTGTCGCGAAATCACAATTTCTACTAAACGCGCACCAACGTGTGAATGCGTTGCAAGCGCTTGCCGCAAGCGCCCTTTGATCTGTGTCCAAAAACCGACACTAGCCCGGATCGGTGATAAGCGTCCACAAGCTCACGCAAGCCAAGCCAAACGCCCTCTTTACACACTTGTGCTTGTGGATGCTTGCCGAGACTTGGCAAGCGTGGAAACCGAGCATAAAGTTCACCAACACGCATTGGGGCAGCACGGCGGACATTTCCTTGCCTTAAAACCCTCTCAGAAATTAGAAGGGGCCTGTGCCCAGCAATGGGACGTATATAGACTTTACTTTCTTTTACTTTTATAATTATATTATATTACAGACGAAATTTTAAATAAAAATAAAAAATAAGCAACCGACAACCTCTTAGGTTGACCTGCGAGATGTCAGTCTAACAAAACAAAACAGCCCAGAAAAACAGACTTTCCAGCTTATATCTAAGAACAAAAAGTTTGTTTCGTTACCTATAGTAGGTACTGTTTTCTCGCAAATGTGTTGAAAAACGTTGTATGACACACATGCGTAAATTGGGATTAGATTCGTCTACGAGTTTGTAAAAACCAACTTTCCACATACTCGTAGTATCATAAGTACCTGACTATTTTTCTGTGTATTAGGAATAACTTATTTTGAGCTATAGAGGCGGTAATTACAAACCGCAGACGTAAAAGGAAACAATGTCAATAATTGTGTAATTAATTCAGTAATAATAATTTAATTACAAAACTTATATTTTCATTTTTAAACGTATTTATAAAAATAATTAAAATGTGATAAATAAATTGCACCAATTTCATTGGTGCCGGCGGGGATCGAACCCGGGTTCATCGCGTACTGTGATACTTACAGCGAGCGCTAAACATCTGAACTACCACGGCTCTCAATGTACATCTTATAAATAAATAAATAATCAATAAAGATTTACAAAACAGTTTAATTATTTATTCGACGACTTTTGCGGCGGACAAACTAGGTATATTATGTAGGATTATCATAGATACCTACTGTTACTTTACCTACAACCTACAATACAACAAACTGTCACAAATCATTGCTGCGTCGTGGACACTAAAATGTAAACTTTAGGTAGGTACGTCGGTACTAAGAAAACAATCTTGATGGGTCACTTGTCTTAATAAAAACCTGTGTTTACGTTTAGTGATATTGAGTATACAACACAAACACACACAAACACTCACGCCTGTCACCCAGAGGGGTAGGCAGAGACTACGGACTTCCATTTGGCGCGATCCTGACACACCTCTCTCGCCTCCTTTACATCCATATAGCTATAGCTATACACGCTCGTCGGTTAAGGGGCCCATTTTCAATGTATCGCCGATTTGGTCGATAAATCTTCGTCTAGGGCGTCCCTTCCCGACTCTGCCGTTCACTTCTGAAACATAAATTTACTTTGTCACTCTTTCCTCGTTCATTCTTTCTACATGACCAAACCACCGAAGCATTCCTTCTTTAACCCTTAAATGCATATTGTTGCCAATTGTCTACATTTATTTTCACGTTATTTTATTCAAAAACCTCGAGTCCCTGCGTTTCCGAACGCTCGTAAATAACCATAGGCAATAAATTATTATTGAAAGAAAAAAAATTGACATTACATTTGGCGGGTAAGTTACTCGTTTTTTGACATTTGAATGTGATGGGTGATGAAGTTCAGTGTGTTACTAGAAGACATAGTTTCTACTGTTGAGTTCCTAATAAAAAGTGATTCTTCTTATTCAAAAAAAATTACTTCTAATTTGTTATCAGGTAAGCTATCAATGTTTGATGTTGTATTTGAAAGTTACATTAGATACAAGACAGATTTTTGGAAATTACTGTATGTTGCCAAATGTCTACATTATGCGTTTGTTTCATAAATAGTTATAAGCGAGTGTTTTTGGTGTCTGGGTTTTTTAACATAGTTTGCTTTGCTTTATAGGATGTCTAGACGGCTAAAAGATGACGATATTGAGGATTTACTTGCACGAAAGGAAAATGGAGACATTTCTGAAGACGAAGAGGATATGGGTGATATGAACGAAATTGATTATCACCCGGACCTACAAGATCTAATAAGCGAATTAGAGGACAATAATGATGACGATGAAGAAGACAATGAAAATCCACCTTCGAACATGGAAAAAGGATGGTTGGATCACTTCAATAGTCCAGCTCCAGGACCTTCGAATTGTCAACCACATTCAAGCCTTCTTGGTGTTGCAGCGTGGAGGCAACGAAGTAGAGAACTTATATGGAAAAAGCGTAATTTGCAATACAGTGAAGAACGTATACGTTTCACAGGAAATACAGACCTTTCCCCTCCACAAGCCGCGCTTGAAACACCATTACAATTTTTCTCCGAATTTATGAATGAGGATATACTCACTGTTATTGTGGAACAAACAAATTTATACATCACGCAAAAAAATGTATCCAACTGTCCTCCTGTAACTGCTACTGAAATCCGTCAATTTCTAGGTATCATCATATTTATGTCCGTGTACTATTACCCAAATGTTAGATACTACTGGGGTAAATATGGCTTCGATCATATACGACAGACCATGACGGTAAATAGATTTGAGAAAATAAGATCAATAATACATTTCAATGATAATGCACAGCATAAACCGATTGGACACCCAAACCATGATCGTCTTCATAAAATAAGACCTGTTGTAGTACACTTGAACAAATTGTTCGTGAGTGTGGCACCATTTGACCAAAGGCTCTCTCTAGATGAGCAAATGTGTTCGACTAAGGTAGCTCATTTTATGAAGCAATATTTACCCAACAAACCCCATAAATGGGGTTTTAAGTTGTTTTTTTTTTGTTCACTCTCTGGATATGCTTATAGTTTTGAAATATATTCTGGTAAACAAAATGTTGACAACTTATCTGATGAACCTGATATTGGCGTAGTCGGTAATACAGTGATTAGATTGTGCCGTTCCATTCCACGAAAAATGAACCATATCCTATATTTCGACAATTTCTATACATCCGTTCCTTTACTGTATTACCTATTGACTGCCTCGTTAGTCTAGTGGTTGTAGTAGTGCGACTGCTGATCATGAGGTCCCGGGTTCGAATCCCGGGTAGGGCCAAAAAAAAAAATCAGTTATTGAATTTTTCTTCGAGAAATTCTCAGTAGCTGCCCTGAGTCAGGAAGTTGGCGGTGTCTCACCCCCGTGCCTGGGAAAGCACGTAAAGCCGTTGGTCCTGCGCCTGATCTCTCTCCGGTCGTGTCGGTTTACCGTCCCATCGGACTATGAGAGTGAGGGAATAGAGAGTGCACCTGTGCTTGCGCATACACTTGGGCACTATAATCCTGTCCTGCGCAGATGGCTAGTCTCCGTTGAGATTGGCCGCCGTGACCGAAATTCGGTTTGGAGGACATTATTACCTATGGACTCAAGGAATATATGCATTGGGTACTATTCAACGTAACCGCCTCGGAAAGAATTGCAAATTGCCAGGAGTAAAAGATTTTAGGAAAGATTCTATAGTACGAGGAACATATGAGGAACAAGTAGCTGATTACGAAGGCCTTAATATCTCGGTAACATGCTGGAAAGATAATAAGGTTGTCACATTAGCGTCAACTTATGTAGGCTCCAAACCAGCCGAAACTGTGAATAGATACGACAAAAAACGAAAGAAACAAATTTCCATAGCTTGTCCAAAAATAGTCAAAGATTATAACGTACATATGGGAGGAGTTGACCTCATGGATAGTTTTTTGGGTAGGTATAAAATAAGAATAAAAAGTCGCAAGTGGTATATTAGATTATTTTATCACATGGTTGATATGGCAGTGATCAATTCTTGGATACTGTATAAGAAAAAATACCCAAATCTTACCTTAGGAGATTACAGATCTGAACTTTCAGAGACTTTATGCTCCTAAAAAGTACGATACAAATAAAAGAGGAAGACCCTCAAGCAATAATGTAGAAAGGCAGATCGAAGCTAAAAAACACCGAGGTCCCGCTAAACCTGTCCCGCCAAAAGATATCCGGACTGATGGTATAGGCCATGATGAAAAAAAGGTGCAGCGCTAAAAATAGATGCAAACTTCCAGGTTGTAAAGGATTTTCACGGACTGAGTGCGTCAAATGCAAGGTTGCTTTATGTCATAACAAAAATCGCAATCGCTTTGCTGTATTTCATTCATAAATAATAAGGAAATTCCTATACTAATGAATAAAATTATAATATGACTATTTGCTTACGTCTACAGTAATTTTAGCAATAAACGCATATTGTTGCCAAAAGTCTACATAGTATTTTTTCAAAATAAATATTCTATATTATTAGCTGGATTTTTTTTATTATTTTTTACGTAACCTGTGACTAATTTCCTATCATATACTATTTTTTTTAGTTCAAAACAAATAATCATGCATTTAAGGGTTAATCTTGGTCACAACGTCATCTTGCAAACCACACTTTTCTCTTATCATACTATTTCTCACCCTGTCATTCAGATTCAGCCCTAGCATACTCCTTAATGACCGCATTTCTACAGCATTTATTCTATTCTCATGCTTCTTCTGCCAGACCCAACTTTCACTACCATACATTAAAGTAGGCACTAACACAGCACTATGAATTGCCATACGTACCTTCTTTGACACATTCTGACAACACGTAACATAATTAACGCACTTTGTGAAAGTAGTTTGTTCAGAATCGTTTACTGAATCGGTTTCTATCATTTTTAATATAGGTAATTTTTTAATCCCAAAAATAATTGAAACTACGTAATTTACAGTCACGTCTAAACCTGTACAGTCAAAACAAACTGAAATGGACCGTAACTCAAGGCAATAAGACTTTTAAAAGTGAGTTTTACTTGTATTAATACAAATTCCGTCATTCAATACAAAATAAAGAAAATTGAACCTTATTTCAAGTATGTTAAAGTCTTTACAAATACAGAGTTTGGAGTGCCTTATAAAGGTCGCAGCGGCCAGGCCACTGACCTCCCAGATCAGCTGATTTGACGCCTCTTAACTCTTTTTATGGGGATGTATTAAATCATTAGTTTACTTTATTGAGCCAACAAGTGCCGAGGACCTTTTTGTGACGATTTTATAATAGTGAAAAATGACACTGAATTGCTTTCTAAATTATTTTTTTTCTTTTTTAAAACGTAACCTCCACACTAGGATTTTCTCTAGTATTGTGGGGGCAGTGTACAAACATAAATTGCACAAGGTCAAACATCCAGACCCGGAACAATTATTTGTAGGCCATACAAATATTGTTCCGTGCGGGATTCGAGCCCGCGGTCCTTAGCGCTGCAACTCAATTGCTAAGCCACTGCGCCACGGAGCCGTTGTGGTTTAAATACAACGTTGCATGAGAGTTTAGGCTATCAGTAAGTTAAATATTTGATTCTTAAAATTATTGTAATCTTGATTCACATCTTTTAAACACGCCGTCTTTGAATTATGTTAGTTTTAGCAGTTCATTATTATGTACAAATACAATTAAAATGTTATGCAAATTCAAAAAAAAACTAGCAAGTACCTACACCTAGCGTTCGTGGTTTTGTAGGGTGACCACAACATTCTTCCGGAATTAGTATAACTACTTTAATAAATAATCAATGCATAAACATGTTTTAGTAAGAATATAATAATAATTAAAAATAATGTATTATGATTATAACATAATATACTAATTGGGGTGTCTGAGGATGCGCGTTAATTACGTTAGATTTTGTACATAAAAAAAGTAAGAACACAGGTTAGTAAGTATTTTAGAAAACAATTTATAGATAGGCTGAATTAATTATAATTATTATCTAAACATTATAAATGCGAAAGTTTGGATGTTTGGATGGATGGATGAATGGATGTACGTTACTCAATCACGCCAGAATGGTTGAAGGGATCTGGATTATATTTTGCTCAGAGATAGGTTTATATAACACATATGATACAGTTTATTCAGGTATTTCGTTTCTGTTGCATAATTTTGGAGTTACATGCGTTCGAAGCCGCTGGCAACAGCTAGTACGGACATAAACTGCGATGACTGTTCAAGTTCATGTGTCGGCGTCGTGAACTCTTGAGTGATCGCTGCATGAACACCCGGGGAAAACTCAACTTCCCTCTCCAATGAGTCATATATGACTCACAGTAACGTATTAGAATAAGTTCATGAGTCACAGGTGACTTATTTCTCAATACAACTTAAGGCACATTTGTTGGTATGAACGTGACGTGATATTGTTTTAAATCATACGTGGACGTATAGTAAAAAACCTATTGTTTATAATAATAAAAGAAAACTTCGCAATTCTTTTTAAAGTTGTCATTTAGTAACTACAATAAACTTGCTATAAATAAAACTCAAATACTGAAGGTGAGGATTTTATTCAAAGAAAATATTATAAAATCAAGCATGTTTCTCATTATAACATTCTAAACTGAATGCCTTTTCACACCTTTTGCACTCTGTGTGTACTTGCTTAGTGTTTCTAGCCAATAATCCTTCATTTTTCAATTTGACATAGCAGTGCATCTATTTCGTACGAGTTTATTGTCGGCCTTTCGTGGTATTTCTTCCAGAGAATGTCCAGAATTGCTTGAAGAAGCAATTGAAGATCTTGGAAAGCTACAGGAGATTGAAGATCTTTGAGGAAGATTACTTTCTGTGGTTGATGCTGCAGGTCCAAGGAAATGTCGAACTAGATGTTCTTGGACTTGTAAAATTATTATATAAAATTATTATAATAAATTATATAATAGTTCGATTCTATAACTATCAAATTTGCAAATGCATCCTTAATTCTAGTGACTAGCGACTAATAAGTAAGTCAGGTTGCAATGTTATTGATTACTCTATGTTTCTTTGATAGATATTTTAGTTTTGTTTGTGATTATTATTTTGATATAGTGAAGCAGTGTTTTTGTTTTTCAAGTCC